TTTTTATCCCTTTAAGAATTGTTTCTTTTCCGCTGTTGCTCTGGATGGGCTAATCTAACCCCTTTTTCATTGTGCCAGTGTATCTCCTGTAGCCACATCTTGAAGTAAGGAACTGAACTGGATAATCTGGACATGGAAGTTGGATCATAATCTCTGATTTTGAGCTCTCTGCTCTTTCCCAATCTCCTTCAAAAAATGTCTTTAAAGTTGACTGTGGTAGGGGAACATGGGGTTTTTTTATGCTGATGTTTAAAAAGGGGAATGAATATTCTCAATTTTACAGCCTTTTAGTTAAACCATTAGAATTTCACTTGGAGCAAAATCTGAACAGTTATGGCTGCCTGTAGGACCAAAGCTCTAAATCCTGCTTTAAAAGGATGAAGAGGAGCTTTAATGCCTTATCTCTCAGCTGAATCTCGAGCTATAAGTTCTTTGCCAGCCATAGTTGGAGCACTGGTGTATTCATGGGCAAGATCACATCTGACCTGCTTTCATTTCCCTCCCGGGCATGCTTTCCTCCCCCAGTTCTCTTACGGTCGTGATTGTCTTCGAATAGGGTAGCCAAGTTGACAGCTTTCTGGATTCCTCTGAAGTTGCAGGTAGCCACGTACAATACAGCAGCAGTCTGCTTTTATCTCTTGAGTTCATGTCAATGTGTAGGAAGTAAAACTAAATAAACCAGGATTTTCATCCTTGTATTTGAGAGTAAGTGTCTTTGAAACGTGCCTCAGGGGCAGATAAACACAAAGAGTAGAAGGTGATGATGTGAACAGAAAATACCAGTAAGAAAGTTCAGCTAGTAGCTTAAACACAGCCTTACCTGCTTTGTATCTGCTCCTATTAAATCAAATTTCAGTTGTATGTCAGTGGGCAAATAAACCTACTTCCAAAACAAAAGATCTCCAGAAGTATGTCTGACTTACAGGAGACTAATAGGTTTCTTATGATTCTAAATTATACTTCACAGCAGTTTTATTAGTGTTTCACAAGCCTTGAAATGCTTCTTTTATTGCCCGCAGAAGTACTGAAAACATTCATCAGAACCCTTAATGGAAGACATGGAGGCCTTTATAGCTAATCCCAGTCTATTTGCTTTTGGTATTTGACAGTGCAGATATTTTTAATAGCTAGCCCAGGGGGAGTATGTAACCATCTCCAAACCATTGCTTGTGTCTACACGTTTTTGTCGGTAATTCATTCTCCTTAGCTGAGCAGAAAGCACTGTAATTTATGGATCCTGAAATTGGGAATTGGCAGTAAGGCTGTGTCTCATAACTGAAGCCATCTAGTGTGAGGAGTGTTTGTGTGTAAGCAACTGGATGGAAGAGCCATCTAACATCCACTGGATCTGCAGATGGTTTGAGGGGTCTGTATCAAGTGACTCATGACTGTTGGCAGAGCAGGAATAAAGCAACGTTTCCAGCTTAGAACTTGTATATTGCAGCCCAAATAAATTCTGATGTTTAGCACTGACATTATTACAGAGGTGTAGAAATCGCTGAGATTTTTATTAGGAGTCTTCAATATAGTTTCAATGCTAGTGAAAATGAGGGGAGCACAGTTGTAACTCGGTTATTTGTTCTTTGTGTAATTTGCGGATAGCAGTCTTGTTAGGGAAGAGGTGGGGAGAGGAAATCTTTGCCTGCTATGACTTTGTCGTGTTTGAAGAGCAGCAGTCTCTCCGAAAAAGTTTGGAAATAGATTAAAGCTGCGCTTACTACACACAGAAGGGCTGTTCCTGCATTTTATCCCCTCCTGCTCCCTTTTTCTGTAAGTATGCTTATGAGCAGAGTTCCCCGGTGATCCTCGTCTGGGATTCCTGCCTTAACTACAGCTCTTCAGCCCCTGCATTTACTACTGTAGTACAGACTGTTGTATGTATGACAGAATTGGCTTGGTTTCAATTACGCGAGGAAGCGTTTTAACCGCAAAGCCCACCGTGATTTGCCACAATCAGTTAAAACAAATGTATGCGTGGAGCCTCCAGGATGTTGGTACCCTCTATGGGGGTGAAGAGGAATAAAGCTTGATGTAGCCTGTACGAGATTAGCCTAGAAAACTATTGAAAATGGGGTGGGGGTCTGTGGGTGAGAGGGAAAGTCTGCCTGACTGCTGCTCTTTCTTCTTGGTAGTACTGTAAAAACACTGGAAATCATGGGCTGTGGTGCAATTAATTATTCAGAGCTGTACTACACTGTGTGAGAAATGGTTTAATCTGCCTGTGTTACACATCCACTAGCTGATGGAGGTGTTTAATTGCATAGATCAGGTTTGTGATTATTTATTTTCCCTCTTTGTGCACCAAAGCATATGACAGACTTGAGCTCTTTTATTTTTTTTTTTTTAAACTGTGCTTCCCAGCCTGGGGAGCAGACTGTGGTAATGAACAAGAGAGGAAGTTCTTGGAAAATAATAAAATAATAGCTAAGCATCACGGAATGCCTGCAAAACGCTGTAGTATAATGCTGCTCAAATGGCAAAGATCTGATCCAGGTCTAGGCTCTTAAGTAAACTTGGTCCAGACTTTGTCTCACAGTCTCCCAAATTCCAGTGGGATACACTAATATATATAAAATATGCAATGTTTGTGTATATTTCTTGTACTACTCTCTTGATCTCCCAGGGAGCTGGTTCAAAATATTTTGAGCGGTCTAGCTAAGAAAAGATAAAAACAGCTCCTCTAGATCATTTCTGAGAATGGTGGATTTGGGGCAGTTGTGGCTGACGGGATGTTTAACCAGTCAGCGTCTGCTTGCTTCTTTCCCCCTGTGTTTCCTCTGGTGCCACTTGTGCATATGTGGTTTTTTTTAATTGTCAGAGAGAGAAATTAGGCACCTGGATTTGCTTGCATGTTTACAGGGAAAAAAAAAAATCTTTAAAATTAATTTAAAGCTTTAGGCTGAATGCTAATTTCAGGTTCAGGGACCAAGATCGTGTCAGGTTTATGGATCCCTTAATTAGGGGCTCTGTCCAGTGCTCTGAGCAAGTCCAAAATGATCCTAGAGTAAGCAAACGAGTTCACAGCTCTGAGCTCAATGAGTTTTGGAAAGGTTGCGTGAATCAAAAGTGTTGCGTTTATTTTTACTGAGAGCAGCCCAGAGGTTCCCAACCAGCTGGGTTTTGTGCAAGGTGTGTGACAGAAGGCACAAACCAGTCACTGAGTCTGACCTGTGTTATCCAGGGCCCCAGTTCCCATCCATCCCCTGGTAGAAATTTGAAGCAGGGAAGTAAAGAGTATTTTTGTTGCCAGCTTTGTCTGTTGAGGGGTTTTCCTGCATTGCGAAGAAGCCTAACTAGAAGGCATTAGAAAACTCCAAAGGTACTGATTTATTTCCTTTTTGAAAACAGCTTGACACAAGTGAGTGTTTGCAAGGAAGGGAGCTGGAGCTGTCAGAGTAAGCAGAGGGTATTGTTTCAGGCTGTATTTATTTTCACGGAGTAGTTTTTAGTCAACGAGTATGCTACACTGAGATGAATAGCCTATTCCCCACTCTTCAAATATCCTTTCCTGTTTGGAAGGATTCTTCTTTAATCTGCTTATTGGAGTTTCCTGGAAAGTTGGTGCCTCTTCTGGGGAAGCAGAAAGAGGAACCAATTGCGTCTGATTCCTCAAATGCACCTACTCCCTGAAAAGCAGTATTGAAGTGGATAAATCAACATTAGCATGTTTCTTCGTAGCTGTGATTGCCAGCTAAACCCTTGCCAAGGGGGAAGCAATGTGCCTTTACGCTACTCAGTCACAAGCAGAGCTTTGTACGTGAGCAGGAGAAGAATATGCTGCATCTGTGGCGAGTCCTAGACCTGGGTGAATCCTTCTCAGAGCTTTCTCTTGTACTTTGGTACCAGACAGGTCTTGTACTTAGAGGGAGGAAACGATCAGGGTGTGAAGGGCCCTTGCTCTCCTCCTTCCCTGTGTGTTTAGGACTATGGCACTCGGCTGAGTCTGGGTGATGGGGAGGGGGCTGACAGCAAGCAGTGATTAAACCTTTGAAAAGTAAGTGGCATCCACGTGTTCAGTGAAGGAATGTCTTAGTTGAGAGCAGAAGTTCAGGATATCAGAGGGTGAGTGTCTGGCATGGGTGATGCTGGAGGGTACAACTTGACAGGTTGGGGGGCTTGGCTGAAGCTACCAGCTTGGCTGAAGCACAAAGGCCCAGCTGGGTGTAGTGCAGGGTGACAGGCTTGGCTTAATGGATGGCTTTTGTTTATGGACAGTCAAGAAACTGTAAGGCTTTCTGTCCAAACTGGTGATTTGTGCTTGCATAATGAAAAATCAGTCAATGCTTTCTGTGGTGTTGTTCCCCCCATAATCTGGAAAACTTCAACCCTTAACCCATAACGAAATCTAAGAATAAGCACAGTCAAAACTCAAACAATTTAATATCTGAGCATATTTCATATTGTACTTCATCTCTAGTAGCTAACAACTTTTTAATCTCGAACTGATTTCCGTCATCTTCCAGTATGACAAAAGGTATAGCTGTCCTTTGTGCCTTCAACCTGATTGAGTTAAGCCATCTGCTTTCCTACTGGGAAGAAACATTAGGAATAAGAGGCCTCTTTTTTTTCCCAGAGGCAAATATTTCCCTTTCTCATCCAAATGAGCCTTCAACAGATTAAGCATCTGTTGTGTAATGTCTCACTGAAAGGAGGAGTCAGCATGAACTTCTGAGGTAACAAACTGGTGTGAATTTTCAGGAATATCCTGTTGTAGCTGCATGCAGGTGTTTTGGTTACGACCACTATGTTGCCCTTGCCAAGGGGTTTTTGGTCAACTTTTTCTTTCTTCTACACAGACAGGAAGAGCACCCTAAAATACCTTGGCCCCTGCTATGATGCAGGCTGAGTGTTAAGAGTATTCTGGATTTTCTACATTTAGCTTCTAGGTATCCTTTTTCTTTGCGCCCTCTTTGGACATTGTGTCTTGAGGAAGGTAACTTCTGTGCCCGAGGAGTAATAATCACTGGGTCCAACTGCTAATGCTTTATTTTTCTCTACAGAAAGAAATTCAAGCCATGAGTCAGTGCCATCACCCCAACATTGTATCTTACTACACATCGTTCGTGGTGAAAGATGAGCTTTGGCTGGTGATGAAGTTACTTAGTGGAGGTGAGTGGTCCAATTTCTTTACCCTAAAAGGCAACGTAAAAAGCTGTCTTCCTGTAATACCCTTTTCCTTGTTTACCTCCTAAGGTTCCCACTTGTTAATTAAGACATTTGAATAACAGTATTTAACTTCAACCCATTCAGCTCAGAAATAGCTTCTCATGTTATGTACATCAGTAGTAACACCTAAATATGTGACTGTGATAGCTCCCCCCCCCCCCCCCCCCATTTTTTTTTGTTTTAAAAGTGCCCCCCCCCCCTCCTATTTTGTATATTTGACAGTATTTCGTAGAGTTATTTGGTATGTGTTTGCTGAATGACTCACTTGAGTATTTGAAAACCGGAGTGTATGACTTCAGACATTGACGAGAGAAACTTAAGTGCAGATGGAGTAGTTGAAACATCCTAAACTTCTAGAAAATAAATCTCACTGTCATTGTCTCAAATGATGGATCTGAAATGGTGCTTCTCAGGTCACGTTAACAAAAGTTTCTTCATCTTGCTCTGTAAGCCTAGGATAAGCTTTTTGAACTAGAGAAGTGTGCAACTAACTCCACTGAGCCCAACCATTTCCACTAGCTTTATCCATGAGAACTGCAACTCCTCTTGCAAGGCTGGTTCCTTGGTTCACTTGCAGCTTCGAGGCCTGCATGGTGCTGATGGCTTGTTGGTAACCAGCCATTCTATTGATTTTCACTTATTTACATGTTGGCTGCCCTTGTGAGGAACTTTAAATCTTCTCTATTTTGGGCAGAGCTACTCCTGTAAAGTCAGTGTATGGCCTTAAAAAGGGAGAACATCAGTGTGGGTGCAGCTTGATTTGTATAGTGTCAGTCCTCAGAGCTTGGATTACTTTGCCCACTTGTTCTAGTTGACAAAATAACTGGGAATACTTGGGGCAATTTCAAATTACTGCCTAGTTAACACAGAGTGAGGGAAACTTCGCCTTTCTGTATTTATTTCTGACACTGGAGAAACAGTTCTTTTGTTTTTGAGAGAGAGAGTTTGCAGACTTCTCAACAGTAATGCTTTATTTGATGTCATAGTATTTTCTAGGATCCCTGTTTAAGTTACAGTTGAGACAAGAAATGGAATCAAGTTCTGGATGATAACACAGAGGACTGTTGCTAAATCTTAGGCCTGTCTTTAGGAAGACTTGGTTTTCCTGGCACCTTAATGAAAAGGAATTGAAGGCTGAAAAAAACCTCCTGTTTTCTTGCTTTTTTAAAAAAAATTCTTGGCTTCTGTTCTTGGCTTAATACTGAGCACTGTAAAATGCCAGAAGATGATGTGGAAAAATCTGGCTAAACCTGTTGGCTTTTTCCGTAAGAGCTTGACAATGACCATAAAACATGTGTCTTTGAAGATCTTCTTTAGAGAATTTTAGCATTTCTCTTGGGGGCAATCAAATTTTAAGCCAACTTAAGTCTGTCTTAAAGGCTCTTTTTAATGTCTCATGTGCTCATGTGTCATTAAGCAATACCCTCTCTTTTCTTGGAGGGACACGTAACAGGTCACTAAAGATATGATGGCTGTTTGTGTATAGAAAAGAATCCCCTGCCAGCTTAGTGCGAGTAGTTTTGCTGTGTGTATAAAAAGTGTATCTATGGGAAGGTTTCCACAACATGAGGAAATGGCATTTCAGGGGTGCAGGAGAGGCAGCAGCAATGTTCTTGGCCTTTTTCAGGAGAGTACACAACCTCCTTGAAGAAAATGCACAGCTGCCTTAGCTAGTATTTTCACAGCGGTTTTCTGTCAGAACCAAGTCAGCATTAGGCTCATCCTTGAACCTTCAAATGTTCTTTCTATTTGTCCTCGTTTTTGTGTGTTTTTTTGTGTAAAGCTGGGAAAAAATCAGACTCTCTATGGACCATCTTTTCATTATCAAGGCACCACAAATGTAAAGACCACACTGGAAAATTTCTGGAAAAATAATCATTGCTTTAGAACCAGCCTCTTGGTGGTGTGAATGATGACCTTCTTGTCATTTAATATTCACTTTCAATGGGCTTCTAAATTATATAGATTGATAATTGACCCTTGTGCAGCTCTGGCATTAAGTGGGGTACTTCCAGTAAAGTAGTGCTATGAAATCTCACTGCTTCTTACTCAACATACTCTGTATGTTGAAGACTAGGGTCATACAATAAAAGACGGACTAGTAGTAGAGTAATCCCCTCCCCAATAACATTTCTGTGAGCCAGTGTTAAATTTTCTTACTTAAAATGAATCATTTGGGGGCAGGGGGAATTGCTAAAATAGACAGAAAGACTTTGAGAATGACCTGTCACTACTTTTTATGCAGGAGAGTGCCTTGAGAGGTATTTTTCAGCTGTTTTCACTTTATACTTTTTTCATGGCTGTACTTCAGATCTCATAGGTCATTTTAGATCTCATAGGCAAATTCTACAGGACAATCTTGAGGATGGGGGAAGAAACTTATGTATTGGAGCTTTTTGACCGAAGAGCTTTTTCATTCACTTTTAATGAGACTATTTCCAGTTGTTTTAGGCTGAGTGATTTATGTAACAAGAGACACTTTAAAAACTGCTTCTCATTCCTTTCAGCTTACTTCTTATCAGTAAAAAAGTGGCTAGTTTTCTGGTCATCTGTCATCCAGTGGGGAAAAAAAATGATCTGGGTTTCTCAACAGGAAAAACCTTTGAGCTGTTTTTATAAACCAGAAAGGGAAAAAAAAAAACCAGGGTGCAGCCTAACTCTTTCATTCCATCTAACTACTCAGAGAGCATGGACTGAGATTTGTACATCCCAGTAAGCACATACGAAATCTGTTTTGATGTCTATTCTGTATCTTGATTGTGGCTTTTGTACTTGAGAATTTCTTCTGGGTAAAAGTTCAGAATCTTATTGCTTCTCTTCCATCAGTGTCAGTCTATGCTGGCATGTGTTTTCAGACTGAAACTAGTTTTAATTTCAGCCTAATTATACTGACCTTATTACTTTGATAAACAGCCCACAAGACAGACTAGTCTGTAATGCAAGCCTCTTGTTGTTGTAAGTGCGATTTAATTTACTGAATTCTTAACCTAGTTACATATGCAAGTATTTTAGAAATGTCTCTGATGGAAAATACTCTAAATCCATGAAGCGTTATTGTCTGATAACAGTGCCTTGCTCCTCTGAGCAGCCAGCCAGTACACTCAAAAGTAGCTTAATTGCCTGACTGGCATTGTTGCTGAAATGGAATTATTTGTCTCCGCTTTGCAAGTACTGTGTTGGTGGAAGATACTGTTTTCCATCTTTGAAAGTTGTCAGCAGCAGCAAGGAGGTAACGTACTGGTGAGCTGTTGGGGAGTAACGCAAAAACTGCTAATCTGCATCAGAGCCAAGTCAGACAGGCTGGTTGAAGTTACTGCTGAAAGCAGTTTGAACTGGCAGATTTGACACCGAAGCAGATGTAGAGCGTAGTTGTTGCTGATGGCAGAAATGTGGCTGTGATGATATCCAGCTGGTAGTGACAAGAGGTGCTGGTGTGTCCAGTTAATCTGACACCCTCTTTCAGATCTGGTGATATGTGCCTGATTCAGGTTTGTGAAGTATCTGCTGCTTCTGTTCCCTTCAGTAGAAATTTCAGACCCTTTCCTCCAATGATGAAACTGTTTTGTAAGGATCTAAGCCTAGCCATGTCAACTTGGCTCCCCAGCCTTTTGGTCCAATGTTACTCCAAACTAAACTCCAATGGCTATTTCTAGACAACTGCTGACCTGCTCTTTGCCTTGTTGGCATTCGCCTGTTGTGAATTTTACTCATGCCTTTTTAAAGCTATCTGAAGCCTAGTCTTGCTCTCTAACTCCTGCGGCTTTTTAGTAGGAAGAGAAGCAGCTGTCCTTTTGTTCTCGTGCTTTTTCTGATCGTGATCTGTTTGCTCCTCTAAATTCTCGCTGGTTTTAACACGAGCTCTCATTTCACAGGTGACCCAAGGCCGCGGATAACTCTACAAAACAGTTGCTCGTATGAAACAGCCTTCTGTGGTGGCTTGCTGCATCATACAACAATTTTTACTGTCCTAGCCTACAGCAGATGAGGCCTCCAAAATAGTTTTAAACTGTGTAAATCCTTTAAATATTGAAATATTTCCAGATAGGGCTCTCGGATCTTCGATCGTCTGCCTTCTTGAAGGCTCCTAATTAAATCTGCTAAGGAGATTACTGTATTGAAATAGTTAAACCTTTTATTTTCCAAAAGTTTTTAAGACTATCTGATCAACCTCTTACCTTTGATCTTGATTGTCTGATGAAGTGCTTGGCCAGCAGTTCAGCAAGCCAGACCAAAAGGGGGAGGTATGGCAAGTCTTAGGTCTCCACCAGGGAGACAGGACATCTTGTTCTACTTCTGCTGCGTTAATCTCTGATCTGGCCACTCCTAATTCCAGCAGTGAGTTATGATCAAAGCATAAGCCACAGGTTCTTAGAAAGCCTTGTGTTTATGTTGAATTATTTTGTTAGGAGAGAGCTACGCTATTTTGAGTCCATCTGGAGGGTTTTTAATTTTATTTGTAGAAACACAACTTAATTTCAAACAATTAAAGATGGGATAAGTTAGAGGCAGAAGATGGTAGGGACTGTAGATGATTGCAGAATGTGGAGCTTGTAGATACATTGCCACTCCTAGCTATAATAGGAAAAGCCTGAAAAAAAAGTGTCTTCAGATTTTCTCCTATAAATGTCTCGGTCTCAACTGCAATAGGCTGTTTGCCCCCTTTATTGTATTATCTTGCTTCCTGCCTTAATCTTGTCATATTTCTTACACATCCAGGCAAGTGGTCTAGCAGGAAGGAGACAAGAAGTGGAAGTTTCCTTAATAATCCCTCTGTGCTGAGGTGGTTTAACCAGGGATAAGAAGAAACTTCAAAACCAGAAACTCCAGCAATCTACTTAGATGTCTCTTCTCCGTTGTTTTGTATAACTTGTTCTTTCCTTTACTTCGGTGCCTTTGCTATATCTGTATTCTTCAGCCCCAGAAGTACTGAATCCAAGCAGCTG